TGATAATGTAGGTTTTTATTGAGTTTAACAACAAATCATAAGTAAATAGCGCTATTCCGCCTAGCCTGCTTTACTGAGGTGAAGTTGGTTTTATATTCACATAGGTTCATTTTCGAACAATGACAGGCACTTTAGAACAAAGACTGAGAGAGTGAGACCAGAGATCCTTACATGCATAAAATATTGCACATTAGGACAAGTTTTGCTTGCTACACAACTGAAAACGTGCTTTTAAAGAAAACAGTTAATGGGTATATGCATGGGGACTTTTAATTTTGAATAAGCAATGAAAAATTAATAATTCAATCATAGCATGTAAGATCAGACTTGTTTTAAATTAATGATGTTCACTGCCTGATTGACATATGATATAAAGTGGGTCTCACAGCTGACAAGAAACACTGCATTAAATTCCAGTGTCATGTCATTAAAATATGAAAAATCATTTTACCACAGTATTTTCAATGGAGTTTCGGCACTCGCCTGCTGCTCCTGACGGTGCCTGCATTTAAACAATCTTTCACCTTGTTCTACCGTTGAACAATAAAATAAATGCTGAAGTCTATTTACTGATTATATTTAAATTAAATTAAATTATCGATGCTGTAAAAGAAACCTTGTGAAATTAAAGCCTTTCAGCAGTAAGTTTATCAGTGGCTGAAGAACACTTGTTATGTATGTAGTGCATTAAGCACACTATGGTATAATAGCGAGTGTGAATATCTGACCTCGTTTGATGTCGTCCAGCTGAGGCTCTGGTGAAGGGTTGTCTTTGGTAGGGGAGGTTTTGGCGCCCAGTCCTGGTTTGTTTGGCGTGCGGAACTGTGGGGTCGTCAGCTGGTTCGCTCTCACTGACTGCTGCTCGATACGAGCCTGGATTTTACTGCTGCCTTCAGCTCTAAAAACACAACATCACACACCTTTCCAGGTCATATTACAGCGCAAATGCTGCACAATGTGACAAAATCATATGGCTTCTGTCTGTCATGTTGTTAGGACACGGTGTTAGTTATCGTAACAACACTACTGCAACTGTTTACATCATATAACGCTCTACAGGATTTATGTCTGCTCACCGTGTTTTCTTGACCTGTATGCTGCTGCTCAGCTTCTCCAACATAAACTCCCCAGTGTCGTGATTGATGATGAGAACGCAGTCTTTCTGATAAGGCCTTTTGTTGCCCTTAAACACCGTCATTGGTGGAGTGGAGCCCTAAAGAGAAATCAGAGTATTCTAGAAAGGCTGTCATACATAAGCGGATATAAATGTTAAAGAGAACGCTGCTCTTACTGGTATGTGTGGTAAAGTGATGGTAACCTCATCTCCTTTTCCCACTTGTAAATCTCCTTCACAGGACGTATCGATAGACGCTGGTTTAAAATCATCTGTGGAGGAATAGCACACAATTGTAAACGTACAGTACGACAATGAAGCTAGTTTTTCATTCTCTTTTTATTTATTTAATTGAAATAAATGTATCTTTACTAAAATAATAAAATCAATGCATTTCATTACTACAATTTTTTGTGCCTGTTTTCATTCTCACAAACTAAATTCTATAATTATGCCTTGGTTTTAGGTAGGGGGCTTCGATTGGCTGATAATCACATTTAATGACTCGATCGGTACTTGCTGATCAGGGGTGCGTTTCCGAAAATCATTGTTAGCCAACTAAAGTCGTTACAAACATACTTCAATGATTAGCCGTTTCCCAAATCCATCGTTCCAACAAACATTCGCAAACTGCGTTGTAAACTTGTATGCTTGCAACTACACCTCTGGAGCTGTAGTTAGAAACATAGTTCCTGGCTGTGTGCTATTCCCAGCTATCCCCCCTATGCCCATTTCATTTAAAACATTCTAATATTTAAAATTGGAATGACTAAAAAAGCATTAAGCTCATTCCTCTTAGGTATAATTTGCTTTCAAACTATTTTTTCAGTTCAGTATGCTGCGTTCACACCAGATGCGGAACGCGCGGATAAATCGCGCTATTCGCACGTAAATAGCCGCGTGAACATTTGAGTTTACTGGCTTCATTCGAGCGTCAAACCCCACTTCATTCGCACGTCAAATTCACTTCAGAACAGACGCGTATTCGCGTGATAGGCAGGGCTTCTGTCTGCCCGGTGACTGTAGCTTTGTTGCTAAATGGCTAACATGGATTTTATGAAGAAAATAACAGTGTTTATGTGTTTATGAAGGCTGAAAAACAGCCCCGGGACACCTACAACAGGAGATACGTCACAATCACGCCCCCACAAGGCAAGCTCCTGATTGGTTAACGCGGCGCGAATGTTAACATGTTAATCACTCGCGCTTGACGCGCATTCCGCGTCTGGTGTGAACACAGTATTAAAAATTTTCAAATTGACAATTGTGTCCCTCCGCAGTGCACTTTGAAAACATTGATGTCATTTTGAACACAGCCGCGGCTCATGACTAAAGCTATAGGTGACCTATTATTTAAAAGCAGAATTTATGTTACGTCTCCAAAGCTTGTGAAAACAAAAAACACAGCATGCGTTAAAGATTTTAATTTATAGTGGGTAATTTATTAAGTATCTGTACTGTATATGACAAGGGCCTGTTGATTAGCACATTTCTGTTGTGGTTCTCATGTCAAATTGTAAAAGTAGACTTTTCAAAAAATTTTAAATAAATAAGCAAACAATATCCTACTTATTAATAATAATAATAATTGTCATTATCATTAATTTTATTAAAGTGGTATATTTTTTTAATACATAATGAATATAAAATTTCATTTCTCAATAAATAGCCTCATTATTTATTTATTTATTTATTTATTTATTTATTTATTTATTTATTTATATATGATATCAAAATGCATTTTCGCTTTTTTAAGTGGTTTTATGTCTTACAATAGAATATGTAATGTTCTTAATAATATTTGTAAAGGAATCACATGCCCTGTATGTTCAATTTACATATATTTAAGTTACTATGGAAAACAAGTGCATGTTTTTACCTAACCTAATATTGGATTTTTTTTAAATGCGTGTTTGTGTAAAACAAAATAATTTGCACAAAGAAATGATGGGTTTTTCTCTAAAGAAGTAGTTACTCTACGCCATTTACAGCATCATTATGGGCATTTTACGTTATTAATACCATGGTTCAAACGATGGATCTGTGACAGAGAAACTATGGGTTTTGGGAAACACTCGTCACTACATTCAATTGTTCTTTTCCCAAACTATGCATCACATGATGAAGCCGCGAGTTACGTCATTGTTTGGGAAACGCACCCCTGACTGATCTCATGAACCAGTCGCAAGTATTTGTGTTAGTCCAGGGGTGTCAAACTCAATTCCTGGAGGGCCGAAGCCCTGCACAGTTTAGTTCCAACCCTGCTCCAACACTCTTACCTGTAGGTTTCAAACAAGCCTGAAGGACTCAATTAGTTTGATCAGGTGTGTTGAATTAGGGTTGGAACTAAACTGTGCAGAGCTGCGGCCTTTTTGGAACTGAGTTTGACACCTGTGTGTTAGTCAGAGAAGAGCAAAATATTTGAATGACCTTGCATCTATTTAGGCCTTTTTATATATATAAGAACTGAAATAATTTCTCTGTTTTTTACAAAATATTGTGAGTTCACTAAATCCTGGCTGAATAAATTACATTACTAAAACAAAAAATATTTTTTAAGATGAATATTTGATAATATAACTTTTTTTTTAATAAACGTATTGCTATAAAAAGTGGTTTATTGGCCTATTTCCTTTTAGCAAAGAAGTATTAGATTTGAAGGTGTGCGAATGTGGTTAATATTATTATAGAAAATGTTTTCCTATCTTTTAAGACAGGGGTCACCAATCCTGGTCCTGGAGGGCCGGTGTCCCTGCAGGGTTTAGCTCCATCTTGCCTCAACATACCTGCCTGGATGTTTCAAGTATACCTAGTTAGACCTTGATTAGCTTGTTCAGGTGTGTTTGATTAGGGTTGGAGCTAAAATCTGCTGGACACCGGCCCTCCAGAAACAAGTTTGGTGAGCACTGTTTTAAGAGAATGTTCTGGGAACTAAAACAAAACTACCCGCGGAAAACAGTAATGCAACATTGCTTGGTAATATGCTTAGAGCATGTAGAGAACTGAAAATTTCTAGTTGGGATATACTTTGAATAACGCATGTTATGTCTCTCTTGATGGACTCACATCTGATGGTGTGAAAGGATGATTTTGGTCTCTTCTCAAAACTGTCCCCGAGCTTCAACACATGCTCTTCTTTATCCAGCGGCGGGTTCGAGCTGCCGTTCATCACTGCGCGTCACATTGAATTCACCAACTTCACCCAAAATGAAAAAATCCTCGGTTTATCCACATGTAAACAAAGACAAAAGGAGAAGACGCTAAAAGCAAAACAATCCTGACAGATTCAAAACTTCCGGGTCACAGAAACCAAAAATAACGCATTCACCTTAGATGTTTGGTTTATTTTACTTTTAAAAATACAAGTTTTATCACTTAAAAAATAATTTCCTTTATAAACCGCACTTGGGGAATAACAAATAAGAATGAAATACAGAAACAAACGTTTTTGTGGTTTCACTTCCGGGTCAGTGAAAAAAAGTGTTTATAAATACGTAAACAATGTAAGATTATTATTTTATTGAACTTTTTCTGATACTATTTAAATATCTGCATAAATTAAAAACACTCTGGTAACTTATTTACATGAAATGTAAATATATTTAGCACATACCCAGTAAGTTGATGGCGTGACACTCGTCCGATTACCGTAGCTACACAAAAACACCAAACATCCTGTTTCCACACTTCCACATTTCACTTAGATATCCTTTTAGATGACAGAAAAAACATCGCATACGCCAATAAAGTTTTAAAGTAACACAAATAAAGAAAATAGTTAAGCAAACAGAAGAACCAAAGACGCTTATATTATTTTTAGGTTACATTTTTTTGGTAGTTACGGTAAAGCGACATAAAGCGGTTCCTGATTCATATTGAAGGCTGTAGTCCTCGACATGTGTCAGTTGTGTACACGAGTATGAAGTACACATCACATGTAATTACAACCATGGCAACTACACAACCTAGCATCATTCTGTTATTCAGTGGGAAGCGAAAGTCAGGAAAGGACTATGTGACAGATTTAATACAGAAAAGGTAAGTTCTCTAGTTCTCTATAGCCCTGTCGCGTGAACAGATTAAACTCGGTAATAAAGATGCTTTTATTTTATATTTCAGACTGACTGCAGAGATGTGCTGTATTCTCAGACTGTCTGCACCCCTCAAGGAGCAGTACGCAAAGGTAAGTTACACTTCTGCAACCTAACTGAAATAACTCACGTTCGTGGTGCAAAATAAAGTACACTGACTACCTGACAGTCCTGTCGTCGAGCCCAGTTGTAAGAGCAACAAATAATACCTCACTTCTAGTTGATCATTTGGAGAAGTGGCAGAAGGTAGATTATTATTTTATTTTTTTTTAGATGAATCATCTGTTGATCTGCATTTAAATCATCAAAAATGCTGCAGAATATCTATTGCAAACAGCATGGATCAAAGATTGTCAGAGAAATCAGTCAAGTTCGGTGAAGGAAAAATCATGGTTTGGGGTTACATTCAGTATAGGGGCGTGCAAGAGATTTGCAGTGGATGGCAACATCAACAACCTGAGGTATCAAGACATTTGTGCTGTACATTACATTAAAAACCACAGGAGAGGGCAAATTCTTCAGCAGGATAGCGCTTCTTCTCATACTTCAGCCTTCACGTCAAAGTTCCTAAAAGTAAGCAAGGTCAAGGTGCTCCAGGATTGACCAGCCAAGTTACCAGAACTGAACATTATTGAGCATGTCTGGGGATGAAGATGGAGGAAGTCCTGAAGATGAATCCAAAGCAATCATGATGATCTCTGGGAGTCCTGCAAGAACGCGTTCTTTGCCATTCCAGATGACTTTATTAATAGTCCTCCAAGCTCATGATGGAGTCATACACAATATTCATTATTTTCCACTGCAGCATGACTTAATATTCTATACTGGACATTATTTCTGTTAATGACAAGACTTTTGTCTAAGCAAAGTCAGACCTTAATTAAATAATTAAAAATCAAGGCATGATCATATTTTATTTTGCTAAAATAATCATAATCTAGACGCCTTTGCCTTTCATATAAGCCACTTTCTATACCAAGTGATCAACTATAGATCAAGTTATTATTTGTTGTTCCTAAAACTTGGACAGGCGACAAGACTTTTGTCAGGTAGTGTACACTACAATTAACAAGTGATAAGAACAATGAATAAAATTGTAATTAACACAAAAAAATGACTATAAACATATTATTTATTTTACTGTTTGAATAAAATGCAGCAATATATTTTGTTTATGGTGGTTCATTCCGCTGTGGCGCCCTCTGCTGAAGGAAAGTGATTAAATGATGTACAAAAATCCTAATTTTCACAAATAAGTGTATTTTTTTATTCAAGTACAGTTCAATAAATGATCATCTTGAACTTATTATTAAAATATATTTAAACATGCTAACAATTTGTTAAAAATGCTGTCAGTGATTTGAAACTTGTGCAAACAACAAGCTAAAACTTGTTAGCAGTGTGTTAAATGCTAGCAATGTGTTCAAACATGATATCAAAGTTAGCAACATGCTAAAGCATGCTTATCTAACTATCCATCCATCCATCCATCATAAAAAAAATTTAAATATTAGATTTAGGCGCCCAATTTGACAATAATCATATTATTTATTTTACTGTTTGAATAAAATGCAGCAATATATTTTGTCTATGGTGCTTCATTCCACTGTGGCGCCCTCTGCTGAAGGAAAGTGATTGAATAATGTACACAAATCATAATTTTTACGAAGAAGTGCACTTATTTATTCAGGTACAGTTCAATAAATGATCATCTTGAACTTAAAATATTATTAAAATATATTTAAACCTGCTAGCAATTTGTTACAAAATGCTATCAGTGTGTTAAAACTTGTGCAAGCAACAAGCTAAATCTTGTTAGCAGTGTGTTAAATGCTAGCAATGTGTTCAATCATTATATCGAAATCAGAAACGTGCTAAAGCATGCTTATCTATCTATCTATCTATCTATCTATCTATCTATCTATCTATCTATCTATCTATCTATCTATCTATCTATCTATCTATCATAAAAAAATCTAAATATCAGATTTAGGTGCCTAATTTGGCTATAAACATATTATTTATGTGAATGATTGAATAAAATGCAGCAATATATTTTGTCTATGGTGGTTCATTCCGCTGTGGTGACCCCTGCTGAAGGAAAGTGATTGAGTATATTGTCCCTATTCTCTGAACAATTTACACAAATCATAATTTTCACAAATAAGTGTACTTATTTATTTTAGTACAGTCAAATAAATGATCATCTTAAACTTAAAATATTACAAAAATGTAAACATTTTTACGTTAGCTTACTTAAAATTAATAATCTCTACAAAAGTGTGCCATGAGGTTAAAGAGAAATGTTTTAGCGTTCAATATGAAAAATCAAATACCAACTATCAGTCTGTAAACAGAAGAAAAAAACAACAACAGTAGACTTTAGGACTGAACGATATCAGATAAATCTTATGATATTTTGTTTTGCTGTGATATATATTGCGATATCAATATATCGTTTCACCCGATGACTTGAATAGCTCTGTTTGAAAAGACTTCATTAATTTAGATAGACTAGGGTGAACAAGTCTTTTTCTATGCGTTACATCTGCAAAAAATTGAATAAATTAACCATATATAATAGGGCTGCACGATACATCGTTACAGCATCGAAATCGCGATGTGCTCTATATATATATATATATATATATATATATATATATATATATATATATATATATATATATATATATATATATATATATATATAAGCCATATTATTTTATTTATTTTAAAGTTAATTGTTGGTAATTATTAGAACAAGTTTATCTTATCCAATATTTATTTGTTTTATAACATGTTTATTTTTTTTTTTTAACCACTCAGGGGGTTAGTGTTTAGCTGTTTTTATATTTTTACAATTTTGTGACAAGATATTTCCTTCTGTTTTGTAATTGTTGTAATAAAAAAAGTTTGTAATTGTTGAATAAAAAGTTAAATGACTTATTTTGTCACTCGTGTCAATTCCTAAATGTGATAATAAAGTGTCATCTTTACATTTACCAAATGAGCTCACCTTTATCACAGTAAAAACAACATTTAGTATTAATATCACAACATTTTAGATCCTTGATTTATCTGAATTGACGGTTAAGTCATATTTTTTATAAACAACCCAAAAGAAACTATAAAAATGTTTGTTCAGTGTTTTTACTTATTAATTTTTTATATTCTATGAAAATGCTTAAATTACCCAAATTATTATAGAATTATTGATTATTTAATTTTTGAGCAGTTCAAAACTCCCGATTCTGAATTTCTAAACATCGCAATATATATCGCAGGGAAAAAAAATATCGCAATGTCAATTTTTTCCAATATCGTGCAGCCCTAATATACAGTATAAGTACGACAGAGGACAAATAAAGGTTAAATAAACAGTGCGTCTTGGTTATCTGACCTAACAGTATTCAAATATAAAAATTGAACAGTCAAACGTAAAATAACTTGGTCATCATTTTTTAAATATTTGTATATTGTAAATAATCTTATCCTGCAGTGTGACTGTTGCGGATACAAACCTTGTGATATTGATGCTCAAACGATATATTGTTCAGCACTTGTAGATTTTGTTAAACAGTGTGTGTATATTCTTAGATGCTAGCTCGGTTCAACTTTTTACAGTAAAATGTATAATATAATGTGTGTTTATGGTTGTAGTTGAAAAAAAGGGTTATTTTGTGGCATATTATTTTTCTATATGATCACTTTATTAGAATTAAGCTGCTGTATTTCTGATAATCAGGATCATAATCTGGACTATGAGGAGCTGATGGGTTCTGGCCAATATAAGGAGAGCTATCGCGCTGACATGATCCACTGGGGTGAGATGAAGAGACAGGAGGACTCTGGTTTCTTCTGCAGACTGGCCATCAAACACGCCACGCAGCCCGTCTGGGTATGACAACATCCTGTCATCTCGAGATCAATCTTTCTGTCTCTTTATTTATCTATCTATCTATCTATGGCCTACAAATTTGACTTGATGCTATAAAAATGTTAAATCATACTTGTGCAAATTGAATCTCTAAACACAAGCAGACTTTTCATGACCAATGTTTTTAATCTCAGCTCCACATGAAAAGACAAGCACCTCACCCAAAATGCTAAAGCTAAAATGTGTTAGCAATATATTAAATGCTAGCAATATGCACAAAATGTTTTATCAGTTCTACCCGTGTGTGAAAACTTGTTCTAGCAAAAAGCTAAAATGTGTTAGCAAGGTGTTAAATGCTAGCAATATGTTCAAAAATGTTATCAAAGATCTAATACAAGTTAGCAGCGTGTTAAAGCATGCTAGTGTGATAAAAAACAAGTTAACAATGTCCTAAACATGTCTAACTAGCTATCTAGCTAGCTATACCTACAAAGTATATGGACATGATGCTGAAAGATGCTATAAATATGTTATGATACTAGCCACAACAAACACAATAGCAGTATTCCAAAACATGCTAGCAATGTGTTTAAATGCAAAGTGCAATCTTTAAAACTTGCGCTAACAACAAACTTAAACTTGTTAGCATTAGTGTTAAATGCTAGCAATGTTTTCAAATATTATAGCAAAGTTCTAATACAAGTTAGCAATGTGCTAAAGCATGCTAATGTGATTAAAAACAAGGTAGCAATGTGCTAAACACATCTGTCTGTCTGTCTGTCTGTCTGTCTATCTATCCATCCATCCGTCCATCCAGGACATGATGGTAAAGATACTATGAATATGTTAAGTCATACTAGCCATAACAAACATATTAGCAGCATTCCAAAACATTCTACTAGTGCGTTAACTTGTGCTAGCAACTTGCTAAAACTTGTTAGCAATGCGTTAAATTTAGCAGTATGTTCAAACATTATATCAAGTTCTAATACAAGCTAGCAATGTCATGCTAAGGACATTGTGCTAACTGTGTGTAGCATATTTAGCATCAAAGGACATGATGCTAAATATGCTACAGTTATGTTCAATCATACTAGGCCAAAAACATATCAGTAGCATCAGAACATCCTAGCAATGTGCTACAGATGCGACCAGTGTGTTAAAACTTGTGCTAGCAACGAGATAAAACTTGTTAGCAGTGTGCTAAATGTTCACAATGTGTTTAAATATTATATCAAAGTTCTAATGCAAGTTAGAAACGTGCTAAAGCATGCAAAATGTGATAAACACATATCCCATATTCAGATAATCAGCGACTGCAGAAGGATGTCAGATGTGCAGTGGTTTCGTGAAGCATTTCCTAATAAGTGTGTGTGTGTTCGGGTGGAGGCGTCTGAACAGACCAGATCAGAGAGGGGTTGGAGATTCACCTCAGGTAAAGATGCTACAGCAAACTCCATAAACACACACACATCAGAAGAGTTGTGTTGATCTGATGGAGTGGTTGTGTGCAGGTATAGACGACGCTGAGTCCGAGTGTGGTTTGGATGAGGGTGTGAAGTTTGACCGTATCATTAGGAATGATGGATCTGATGACATTCTGGAGAAACATCTGGACGAGCTTCTGTCATCGGTCAGGTCACAGGTGGACTTCAAAACACACACAATAACATCATAACGGATTCATGAAAACTGATTTATGGACATTGTTGGAGAACGCACAAACTCTTGAATGGAAATCTCTTGTCATCATCTTGTTCTCACTCTTTCTTTTGTTTGTTCTTTTTTAATTTGGTCACACTTTATTTTGATGATCTGTTTGTTGAGTTTAAGTTACATTGCATCTGCATGTCAGCTAATTCACATTAGATTATTAGTAGACTGTTAGGTTTGGATTGGGGTTAGTGTACGTTAATGTGCACTTGCAAAGTTTCTTACAGTCTGTTAAATGTCTGTTGAAGGAGCAGTATCAACATATTAAGCAGTCTGCTAATACTCAAATGGACCATCAAAATAAAGTGCTAACGATTTATTTTTCTTTACAACAGTTTATGGATGTGGTTCAAAGGGGTGCAATAGTGATACAAATTAATACTCCATATTTTGGGGTATGTTTTCAATATCAGTTATCAGTTAATATTTTGAACCCTTATGTGCTGTTGGGGACGTTTTCATCCACTCTGGGGGGATTTTGAGTCTTAAATTGATTATACGTTTTTCTGTTTTAGCTAGCAGAATGATTTTTAGTGACAAATCATATTTTGAAACATTTTGTGAAAATGCTTTGAATTTAAAAAAAACCTCAACGATACACTCGGGTCAAATTTACTACCCTTTTGTAATGTTCAGGATGAAAACATCCTCTGAATTAAACTGCTGTAAAAATGCATCAGAAAAAAAAAAATTCTAAATTTTTTGCATATCTGTTAAGGCTGGTTTATACTCGATGCGTTCGCAGCGAATGTGACGTCATCGCAGTGTTTGTGGAGGTTGCGCTTTGGGTTTCGCACAACTTTTTAAAGGCTGATTTATACTTTCGGCTGGCGCCACGTCGCGGACCTCCGCTGACTGTGCATGCACCCCACGAAACAGACGAGGCTTTTATACTTGACATGCTCGCCTATGAATTATTCTTTTAAATGACAGGGGGCAGTCAAAATAAACTGATTGTAAAATCAGACGGATAAACGGAGAAGTAGAAGCTTGCCGGAACTACATCATATCATAAACATCATTCAAGATTGTTAATCTAATTATTTTTATTTATTATTTTAATGATTATAAAGTTTTTTATAACAATTCAAGATTTTTAAAATCAAACTTTGATGCATCACTTGCTTTTGTTCTTATCTCGGGCAGTTTTACCTATTCAAGTTTATTAAAATATTAATGACAAACAAAACGAGGCAAACTTTTTTTTTTTAAATTATGACAAGAATAAAAACAAAATAAAAATCTAACAATGCATCAAAGCCAATGTTGTTATTAATCATGTCCAAGACTGTGATAAGAGGGGGGAAAATCCAGTCCACAATTACTTTTTGTGTGTGTTTTTCACCAAATCAGTGACATCATTTATGAACTTGCCAATTTAAGAGTTGAAATCCTGTGATCATGTGACAGTTTAGTAGTGTTGATCGGGACTGAGGTTGATTAACAGATTATTTCAGTGGATGTTTTAATTCCAAACATAACAAAAGGGTAGTCAATTAAAACAGTGCACAAGGGTTCAGTATATTTTGTGATTGTGCATTGGCTGATAGGCCTATTATATATGACCTGTGGATATATAAATATGAAACTTAAAGAAGGCCAGTAGGTGAGTCCCTGTCTCAACTTGAATAATTTATTCAGATGATTTATACTGATTCAATAATAAACTGCAAATGACTCACTTTCAGAATGAATCATTGAATTATAGACTCAATCGACTTATTTAAATAACAAATGCCTTTACTAATGTTTTTCTCCAGCTTTGTATGGTAATATTTTTGGTGATGATACAGAATAAACATATAATTGTACCATTACACTGAAAAAAACATCGGATCAACTTAAATTGCTTTATTAGTTTTTTTTTTTGTTTGTTTTTTTTTTGCAAGTTTACCCAAAAATGAGGGTATGAGGGTATTTTGGATGAAATAAACGGTTTTTGTCCCCATACTATGGAGGTCAGCGGTTACCAGTTTCCAACATTACTCAAAATATCTTCTTTTGTGTTCAACAGGAGAAAGAAACTCATAAAGGTAAAGAATGAGTCGGTGAATTGAGTAAATGTTCATTTATAGGTGAACTACCCCTTAAATATTATAGGAAAACATTCCAAATATGGATGTGTTGTGTAATTAAAGAAACAGAACCAATCATCAATGCATTTATATAGATGCAGAGCAACAAAATACATGATTACAGCCGTATATTCAAACACACAGCACGATGTCAAATGAATAAAAAAAGCTATATATAAACAATGATTTAACAGCCATGTTTAAAGGGTTCTTCTCATCCCCAAACATTCAAGCATTTGTACATACACAGTATCAACAATAAGACGTTAAAAAGCTTTAGTGTGACTTGAAGTGGTCAAGGAATTCACAATCATTGTTTCCCACTTCTGTTATCAATATCAACATGAATATCCTCTTCAGCAGTACAGGAGAAATCCTCCACTGTTTATAATTTATAAGCGTTTTCTTGGAGGTAAACTGTGGCATTTAAAGTCCTTTTCAAGTTCCTGCCAAATAACCAGGGCCTTCAATGTGCTACATTTATTAATCCTCAGCATAATGTCGCTTATTTTCAGCAGATGAAAAGCATGTGCATGAAGCATGCCAACAACGTCAATAATATAGTTAAACGTTACAATCAACAGCCTGAAACACGTGTCTAAGGTCAGCATGAAACCAGAATACCTTCAAAAGTTTCCTTCATCTCTACCTCAGCATTTAGTCCTTTCATTAAAGTAAAAATACACCATAAACCCGTTTAAATAGCACAATTGAAAATGTTGTAACAGTGAAAATCTTTTTATAAAGACTTACTTGTTCTAAACTATGTTTAATATAAAATGTTTAACATTTTTCTACAGAGTAAAGGCCTGTTCACGCCAACACAAATTTGGTATGTTTTTTTTTTTGCACGCAATTTGACTGTTCAAGTAACGTATAAAAACAGCAAACAGTCTGAATGAAAATGCACAAATCGCACCAAATGGCTCTTTGAGAGCAGGTGGTGCTTATAGAGAACGCAGAAATACCCTGCTCATCCAGTAAATCTCATTAGTTAGGCACTATTATTCACAGTGTGATAAAAAATAGATACAAATCCAGCACTTTAAAAATGCTCAGTTGAAAGGGTTAGTTCACCTTGAAATCAAAATGTCATTCCAAACCCACTGGTTTCTCTTCAGAATACAAATTAATCTGTGTAAAATGATATAGCTGAAAACGGAAAGGTTTTCCACTGAAATGCCTACACAACAACGCTTCTAAAACGATCTACATTTACACATATGTGCATAAACATCAAAACGAGCTTTATTATGTACGCTATAGTGGTGTAACGGATCACAAATCTCACAGTTTAGATCACATTATGCAGGGACAATAAGGACTGCCCGATGGCCCGGGGCCAGCTTGTGAGACACTCGGGACAGTAGACAGGATCATTACTGGCCTGATTGGGCCAGTGCTGCCTTGTCACTGTAACCCCGCAGAGCGAGTGGGTTACATCGCTAAAGTTTAATTTGCCTGCGACTATTTGTCAATAGCATGCAAATACAGAATTGAGAAACAGTTTGGATTTTTAAGCCTTCAAATGCTACCTGATGTCCTAAGCACTATATTACTTTTTGGTTCCTCTTATCTGATTGGATGTTGTAAGCACGTTATTTTTTTCCATAACAACCAGTACAGCAAAGAGACGGCAACATCAAATGATGATGCTAAAAGAAAAGGTTTGTTTTTAACTTCTTTAAAGCAGACATTGCGAGGGTACATCACGACAAAAAAAAGAGATGATGTTTTGTACAGTTTGCCATCAGTTTGGCAGGTCAGCCACTTTTGTATTGCAATAAAATATCTGCAAATTTTCCATACCGCTACTTTTGTTTGCATAACACTTTGAATTTTGCTCATCATACATTAATTAACATTTTTATAATATTTAGATTCTAGATTCACACATTTTTTTAAATGTGAGGCTAAGAAATAGCTATATTTTTTTTGTTGGACCAGTGAAAATATTGGCAGGGCAAGTAAAAATCAGAACCACTGGTCCGATCGGGCCAGTAGAAAAAATCCTTAGTGTTGAATCCTGTTATGGCTTTTGAGTCTTGGATTGGACCATTTTTTGGAAAAAAAAATAAAAAGAATAAATAATCAGCTGAATGAAAATAAGTGGTAAAATATATTTAGACTGTGAAAAATTCACTCTAACTACTACTGTGCTGATAAAGCTAAATGTAGAAATCTTACATTATAATATGTACAACCCATATTTATTTTTAGCCTCATTTTCATTAAATGATTCAGTTATTCACTTATAAAACTTCGTTTCATTGCTAGATGTGTTATTTTTGAAGAATTATTCAGTGGCATATTGATGTTGATTGCTTCTTGTCGCCACCTATTGGTTAAATAGTGTAATTGCTGCTTACAACTTCCATTTTTGTTGTTTTAATCTTTACTATGAACATCAGTGGTTTCATCTAAACTATAAACTGTTCTCCCAGTACTTCTGTGTCATTAGACTGTTTGTGATTTTTGCGTTTTCAGATTTGAATACAGCGATTGGAAGGATTATTAAACATATGCAAGTCACCACGTTTATAATTTTTGTTGTGTGGGTGTTGAGATCCCGACCTTTTAATGATCAATCGTGCAGCTTACACTGAATGCATTAATGCAGGCTAAACAAGTAGTGACAGAAAACACCTTTAATAACCTAAGAAACCCACCACATCTTGGGGTTTTGTTCATGAGTGAGGTAAGGATGGAACGTGAGATTGACAGGGGGATTGGTGCAGCGGCAGCAGTAGTGCGGTCTATGTACCGGTCTGTTGTGGTGAAGAAGGAGCTGAGCCGAAAGGCAAAGGCTCTCGATTTACCGGTCAATCTACGCTCCTCCTCTCATCTGTGGTCATGAGCTTTGGGTCATGACCGAAAGGACAAGGTCTCAGATACAAGTGGCTGAAATGAGTTTCCTTTGAGAAGTGACAGGGCGCACTCTTATAGATAGGGTAAGGAGCTCTGACACCCAGGAGGAGCTCGGAGTAGAGCTGCTGCTCCTCCACATTGAGAGAAATCAGCTGAGGAGGTTCGGGCATCTGTTTCAGATGCCTCCTGGACGCCTACCTAGGGAGGTGTTCCAGGCATGTCCCACCGGGAGGAGGCCTTGGGGAAGAACCAGGACATGCTGGAGGGACTATGTCTCCCGGCTGGCCTGGGAACGCCACGGGATCCCCCCGGAGGAGCTAGAGGAAGTGTCTGGGGAGGGGAAGAAGTGGCCCCGCTACAAATGTCCTTCAGTCAAGAGCATGAATGAGGGTTTTTGTAATTTTTTGTTTGACTAATGATGATGAAAACAGTCGGCACCAGGAATATAGTGTACTGTCGCTTTAAGAGCCAAACAGTTGTGATTTAGGGATTCACTTTCACAAGCCGTGAACTCTGCATGTTCAATTATTTCTTCATAATAAATGGGGTTAATGTGGAAAAAACACTAAATTGCTGCTTTTTTGACATATTTGCATGACCATTTTAGGCACTCGTCTAAAGATGACCACCGTCTGAAAGGCTAAGAACATGGACTGAGTTCTCTTTCATGCTTTTAAAAACATGAATGACTCGAATACATGTCAAGAAATGAAGCAGAAGTCACGTTACATGATTTCACTGTTTTCCATGTGAAACTGAGCTTTGAGAGTAATGAATGCAGTCTGCTTAAAGGTATTACTCGATAAGGGTTTTGTCTTGATTGAGGCTTTTTCATGATCGTTGGAGGCCAAAATTGAATTTTGATAAATTACGCAACCCTAATTATCATTGTTGCGTATGTTTGTTTGCGCTTGCCTTTAATCTACACCTGTCTAAGCACACAGTATGATGTCATCGTTTTCGGCCTTTTGTTTTCCAGTGTTTACACGGACATAAATAACGGCAGTGTATTCAAAAGCATTCACTTTCAAATGTACAGTTTGCGTTTTCAATCTCAAAAATGACATTGTAATGTAAACTAACAGCTTTTAGGCTGAAGATGTTGTTGTGTAACCAAAGATATTTAGATAAAAAAAAACTGAGAGATTTCTATGCGTCATTAAATTAGTCCATTAACCCAAAGCAAAATTCTTGACACTTCAAAGTGTTCAAAAAGAAGCAAATGATGACAGGATTTTGATTTAGGGGAACTAATCCTTTAACAGCAAGTCTTTTTTCTGTG